CCAGGGCTCTGCGCAGCCGCGAAATGACCGCAACCATGATTACAAACAGTGGCCCCGCGTGGAAGAGCGTGGTCAGCCGGAGCAGGTTCATGGCGAGGAGCACGGTCTCGTCCATGGACTGAGAGTTGCGCAGCCGGTATGCCAAGCTGATCCGCTCGATCGTGCTATTGTTCAGTATGCTCATCAGGGCCTTGTATTCCGCGATCGAGAGCCGTCCTGTTCGGGTCGCAGTGTTGTGGGAAACGAGCAGCAGTTTCATGTCGCGCGCTGCTTTGAGGGTTTCTGGACCGAGAACGTCGAATGGCGGAGGAATGACGATTGTGCGGGACAATTTCACGAGGGACGGTGGCATTGGGGACTCGTCCGACGGTCCAATGTCCTTGAAGAGGACATCTTCGCCCAGGAATTGTGCCGTCAGAAAGTCCGCCCAGAGGATCAATTGCCTGATGGAAGCCGCCTGGCCGATTGACCCGCCGCGTCCGATCGTGTTGAGCCCTCCGCGCGCGGCCACCAGTGCTTGAACACCAGCCGCGTGTCGTCTCAGTGCCTCGGGCTGGGCGAACATGGTTGCTGTTGCCCAGAGTAAAGTAGCTGACAAGACCGCCTCGTCTGTGACAGCCGCGTGTTCCTTGTCAAGCAACTTCTGCCGCAGCGATTGCAGGGCCTGGGCCTCGTAAGAGAGATGTGGAAATGCGGTTATCTGCCCCATCAGGAATTGAACCGCTTTCCACGCCGCGATGACGCTGAGACAGAGGGATGTGTCTGTCATGACCGGAATGACCATGCTCCCGCCGATCTCGTTGACGGTGAGACCTGCGGGTAAGGGGAAGGCGGTGGCTGCTCCTATCTTGGAATGGAGCACTGCGCGTCAACCCGAGACGAGAGATTTCATTAGCACTGTCGCGTGTAGAGGTAGTGCCGCTCCGCAGTGTGCGGGAGACGGTGTGGAGGACGAAGAACTCACGATTATAGACGGCCTGATGCAGGTCCAGTTGATGGCCGCCCGGCACCGGTAAGTCGTGGAATCCATCTAACCGGCCAGCGCCTAGCGAGGGCAGCGCTCTTGTGTAGGCATACGACCTGGCGTAGCTCGTCTCGAGCAGCTTGGGCCGTTGATGATCGCCCTTTCCGGGCGCATCTGACTTGTCTGAGAATTTCTTCGTGGCGGCCCCGCTGCGACTCCGGTGAACGAGATATGCCCTGTGGGAGCGTAGCTGACAACCTGGTCGCCGACACACTCCACATGTCGTCGGTGGGTCTGTCGAAGTCTGCTTATTCGGACTGGGCACCGAGCTCGCGTGACTGATATCACGTCCTTGACCTGAAGCCATGCCGGCATGGGGAGCCCCGAGGTATCGGCATGGTCGCTTGACCGTAGGGTGAAAAAGTGAGGTCAAGAACTTTGGCTGAGATGAGGTTGAAATTATCGGTCGTCGAGGCCTTGACGCGAGGGAGCCTGGGTCGAAAGTCGATGGTCTTATTGTCGAGTACTTGTAGGAAATGGGTGTACTGAAACATGCTAAACAAGGCTGGGCGATTTGACGCTGCTTTTACCGCCGAATCAACTGGTGCGGTGAGTACCAAGAGTCTTGCCTTTTGTGTCTCGGCCGCACCGAATTCATCTCTCGCCGCGCGAAGTCTAGCCGACAGAGGGAAAGACCTCGTATTGAACCATGTAATACCAAGGTTACTAGCCTCTTAGCAGAGCCGACAATGTGACAATGACTGAATGCGCGGGAAATGCCGGCGGCCATTCCAAGTCAGTCTCACCATCTGCAGTGTCAGAGCGTCAGAAGCGAACAGTTGGAGTTCAGACTCGGATAAACTGGCTTCCGACACCTTCAGGCCTCCTGAGGCTCCTACCGAGTACCAGATACACGGTCGAGCATCAGCCAGCTCGCGAGGTGCGAGCACATGCCCAGGAGACGAGCATACATAGTCTAGTCTTTTCTGTTCAACTGCGCCGTAGCCTCTGGCGCCCCCAAGTTAAGCCTCTACTTTCTCGCTTCCAGCAGGTGAATCCGCTTCATAGTGTGCCACCTCTGTACTCTTCACGCCTTCCATTGCACGATGGTCGACAACTGTGTGTGTGGTGAAGTCTACTTCGAGATCTCGCTGGTAGATGGCCACCTCGTCCTCATCGCCAAAGATGGCGGCAACTTCCTCCAACGGCAGGCCGTTCGTATCTGGGAACCATATCCACATGGCGATCCCGCCGAGTGTGCCTGGGATGATGAAGCAGAGATAGAACTTCCAGCCAATGTTCTCAAAGGCGGTAGGAGCGCTGTTGCTTGAGGTCAGTACATGCCTGACACGAGGAGGCAGGGGGATGAAACACCGACGGGGGCCATCATACCTTTGGAGCCAAATGATATTCATAAACGAGATCATGGCGACACCGAGGCAAACGCCCTTGGCTCGCAAATGGGTCGGGAAAATCTCTCCAAGATACGAGAATTGCGTCCCGTCGAGACACAATCCGTAAAACAGCTGGAATACGAAGAACATGGCCACGGCCGCCAAGAGCGCAGACTTGTTGTTGGAAGGCACAAAATTGGCCACCAGTGCCGCTTCCACAATAAGACTGGCCATGCATCCCAGAACGCCAAAAGAGATGAATCTGTTGCGTGGGAAGCGGTCCACCACAAGCATTGCCAAGGCATTCACACCCAGGGCAAATGTCAGCCAGGCGGCCGGGTAAAGAAGCTGTTTGACCGGCGAGAAGTCAAGTGACTTGTAGAGTGAAGGACCGTAGTTGTTGATAACTAAGACGCCCGAACACTGGATGATTCCAGTGATCCCCATTGCCAGAAATGCTCGTTTCCGGTACGACGGCTTCTTCATGATATGCAACCACGAGTTGCCCAAAGTTTTGTCGATCGCGAGCTGCTTTTGGATCTGGTAGAACTCAGCCTTTGCAGCGGTGTTGTCAGGATCGCTGGGATCAGCGTGGAATTTAAACAGGACTGCCTCGGCTTCAGAGTCGCGTCCCTGCATAACCAACCATCTTGGTGACTCCTGCAAGACCAACAATGTCAACGACGTTCTTCAAGAAGTGTTCGGACCATAATCAACATCATGGAATGTTCATCGTGGGAGTCGAGATGTGACGGCTGGATCACAGCCGTGAGAGTAGACGACTTACTGGGACGAAGTATAGACCGACCAACAGGCACAATGGCCAGAAGCACTGGATTGCAATGGGGGGTCTCCAAGTATTTGTGCTGCCATTCTGCCAAAAGTAGAAGCCAAATCCAACCCAGCCTTGTATGGTATAGCCGAGCACAAGCATCACTGCATGGACGTCGACAAGAGCGCCACGCATGTGGACCGGCACAATCTCGTTCATCAGAATGGGCACGGCCGCAAGGATCATGAAGGCAGAAGCACCAGCCACAAAGCGAAAGGCGATGAACATGCCGACATTGACACTGCCTGCCATAATAGCTCCGGACACGATAGAAAGTATGGCAGACTGTGAGGCAAGTTAGAGCCACCAAAGGCAGGTGTGAATCCATTGAAACTTTACCACAGCGCAGGCCCATTTGCGACCCCATCTGTCCGCAACTGTCGGTAGTAACAACGTTCCAATCACCCCCCCAGTCTGAAAAAGACCATTCATCGTGGATATCAAGTCGGTTCCATTGGAACGGGTTGCGAGGTCGAAGTATTCAATGAAGGATGGTTGGCCTAGAGATGACATGAGCTTGATTGATTTTTCAAGGAGTTCCTGGTACCTACCCAACGTTGTGCCAATAATACTTGCCGTGTAGCCATATGTCAAAGAACCGAACCCTAACACAGCAAGCACAGCGCATGTATGGGCATTGAGCTTTTGTTTGCGAAGGAGACCTTCCGACGCCGAGTTACGACGCATTTTTGGATATCTGTTCGGAATGGCAGAGGGAAACTGGTCAAATTTGAGGAGAGCAGAGGAACGTGACAAGAGAAAGGGGTGTTATATAGGGACATGAGATGTGCTGGTTCGTTTCCCAATAGAGTTTATGAGAGCCGAGACACAATATCAGAGCTATAGCCACGGCTCCCAAATGCCCCTGACCCGTGACCATTCCTCACACCTTACCTTCCCAGCCCTTCCCCAGTCTCCCACAAATCCCCGCATTTCGCAGTTCATAACGAAGAAGTAAGGCTTTTGTGGGCCAAAAGTGGAAATATTGATTGGTGAAGGTGATGATTGTCCCAGATTTGCGGCCCTCGGTAGATCTACCCTGAGTCAGAAATCCTAGAGTCAGAAAGAGACTCCGAAAGTGAAGAGTCAAGATCAGAGACGGAAGAAAAAGTTTAGCCTCCGACGCCGAGTGAAGCACAAAGGAGCGAAAGGTAGTTGGCTAAAAGCATGCTGAATGAGTCTCCACGACCGATTCGACAATGTGATCTTGACTCGCAAAAATCAGGAAAACCGAATCCAGAGGGTTTGCCTCAATAGCCTGGGCATCGTTCAAGAGATGCAGCACTCGGAGGTTCCTGAATGACCTATACCCCGAGTACGGCGGAGGATTTGGCCCACAGGATGGACGTGGTTCGTCCTCCCAGGTGACCTGGGGGCGGCATCGGCAAAACAGAAGTCTGAAGGCAGATTTCGGTTGTGTTGGAATCATCGGCATGAGTGGGTGGCCTGGATGGTTGGAATCTTTGTTGCCAAATGGTCGGTCTTATTGTACCTCGTCCGGTGAGAGCGATGTGTACGATGCCATTCACGAGGTATGTAACCCGTTTGAGCGAACGGGCCTGCCGATACGGCCCGTACGGACGCTGAAAATCCAGTCATCGCTGATCCAGTATCTGCTTGTTGGAAAACTCATTGGTGAATCACTCGCCCCGGACTGGGTCGGAAGTCTTTCGAATGATCGCTGTCATGTTGTAAGCTCAATAGTACGAACGATTGTTAGACTGAAACAGACGGGGGCACTCAAAACAGCCATCCATCGAACTTCAACCCAGCTACTGGACGGAGTATATGGGGGTACCTGTTGTCGGACTTAAACAGGGGTGCCTCGATTCCTCAAGACCTCAAGATATTTCTTCTTCACTGTGGCATTACCATATCGGTATGCGCCACTGCTTTCCATGTACTCAGCAACTTGCTTCCACGGTACTTTGTTGACAAATTGACCAATGGAAATGGCATCAAGGTCTGTGGCAACCTGCAGATTGATGGGATTCGACTTCGAACAATGCGAGACTGCTTCAAATAGCAGCTGGATCTGTCACATGACGTATCAGCATCTGGAATCTCTGTTTTCCTAGGAGTAACTCACATCCCTATCTCCCCATTCTGGTTTTCTCAGTCTTGCCTCCCTTGGCTTGGTCAAGGCACGATATCTTCCCCTCAACGTTGATTCTGCCTCCTCAAACTGCAACCGCTCTTTGATCACCTTGTATGACATTCCCTGGTCTTTCAATTGTACCAGAAGCGTGTCTTTCGAGGTGTCGCGTTGTCCGTTCTTCACTCCTAGGTGTCTGCCTGGCGGTACCGAACTACTTGTGAGGCTTGACGGTGATTGAATGGTAGCATCGCATGCCCAGAGGTCTGGATATTGAGCATCCTGATCGAGTACAGATGATGGTTCCAGTTCCTGATAATGCATAGCCGGAAGATATTGGTCTATGGTGGGGACTGAGGGACCACTCTGGAAGTCAAAATGATCATCACCAGATGAAGGTAGTTCGGGCAAAGGCGGATAGTTCAACGAACTCGAATCAAATCCAACCTGTTGTGTTGGAACAAAGGTAGGGTCGATTTCGCAACAATTCAGCCCAGGATTCAAGTGTAGCTGAGCAGCGCTAGGCTGGGGCGACGTAATTCCACCGAGCGCAGGTGGGTCGTAGCTTGTCACCGTGCAAGGCCACAGCTCGCCTGAGCCAGGTGTCTTCGCTTCCAGCACAGTTTTTGGCGTGTGAAGATCGTCACCAGTGGTGGTTCGGCCATCCAACATGCTGCCTTGCGGCATAAATGAGTCCAACGCATCGTGAGGGAAGTTTTGAAAAAGCGAATTAAAATCATTCATTCCAGGTGGGGGTCCCTGCTGAGCAAAGATTGTGTTTGTCAAGCACTGCTCTATGGCCGTGTCGATTGGAATTGCTGTCGCCGGGCGGGAGCGTCCACACATCTTGGGATTATCAAAGCTTCCGTCATTTAGTGAACCGCTCAAAATGTCTGCCTTGTAGAGCTGATTTGGGGAATATCTCTGCCGTGGCGGGATGGGCATGACTTGCGGAATCTCTTCCCCCCCACAATGCAAATTGTTCCTAATTCTACTCTGCTCCGCAGATGCGCAATGATGGTTAGCTGACAGGGTGCGGTTCTCCTTTTGTGAAGATGGATAGGAGTGCAAATTCGTTCCGTAAGTTGTAGAGTTCATGGTTCGGAAGAATGGCGGTTGCATTGCGGACGATCGTGCGCAGGTGAGATTGTGAGAATCTTCAAAGCAGGCCATATCATTGGAACTCATATGCGAAGCAGGGCACGAGGCTCTAACCGGGTGACAGATATGGGGTGCGTCAGAAGACACCGGAGGGTAAGTGGCAGTCGAAGTGAAGGTGCTCGGTACCACCCATCTGGGTAAGTGACAAGGAAGATGAGTCTGCCCGCAACACAATGTCTCTCCATCGGTGTAAGTACCAAAGTATCTTGAATAATATGTCCTCGGAGACATATCTAGAGATGCAAGGCTGCGCAATGAAGAACCAAGTGATAAAATTCGAGCTGATGACTGGTGAACGGGCCGGAATCACTAAGTTGTGGTAGTCTGTGCAAGCGGTTGCGTTTTCATGTTGAATCATTGGCCACATTACAATCAGCACATGCACGGTCATCCATGGAAACGGAGTCCAGTCTGTTCGTATTGCAAACAGAATCCCATGCACGGCATCGGGATCAAATTGGAAATCTCCAAAGATGTGAAGACGAGAGCACGCATATTGAGGGGCACACTTACCTCCGAGCCCTCCACATGCAACCGCTAAGTCTTGAGCTCCCCTCCAAATCTTCGATACATCGGTTGAGGTTGCTGATATTCTGCGGAACATTAAATGGATAGAACTGTTGCACAATACCTCCTGGATAGCTGGCTGGCTGTTGCGTACTGTTTCCATGGCCCGTTGGAAGTCGAGGCCAACAGCTCTGTTCGCACGCAGTCCACAAAACCGGCCTAATAGCAGAGTTTTGTCACCACATCTCCTTCTCTTGTCGCGTTCTGCTCTGCTGCTCACCAAAAAGCTTGACTCCCTTCAAAGAGAAAAGAAAAGAAAATCGTCCTATTTGGGGCAACGAAACGCATTCAATACAAGGTAGTCGCGGAGTCGCAGCGTTCTCGTGGTCCATCTATGCCAGTTGCCATAGCTTGTGGGAACGACAAACAGGAAGTGTCTATTTCAACGTGTGTTCTGTGTATAGGTTATGGTTTAAGCAATGCACCGGCTTAGGCCGTCAGCTCTGGTGCCTCTTTCGCCTTTTCTGAGAGCCGGCAACGGCGAAGTGCTAGATTGAGTTCGAGGATATCCTCAAAGTCTGTCCGTCCGTGATCAAGAAAGGCAGTTGATATGCCGACGGGGTCACCAGGCGGAAAATATGGCAAAGGACGAGCAAACATCGGGGGCACTGTGTTACATGACTTTGCCGACTCTCAATCTCAGGCAGCAGCCCTGGCGCCAGCTTGCGGGTCCGCTCTTTTTGGGGATGGCATGGAATGCGTAGGTTGGGCGCAGAGGCAAATCGAAATGCTTGCGAGTTATCACATCGTTGGGCATGGCAGCCTCTAAGCTGTACCTATTAGCTCGATTGGACGTACCAGGTTTGTGGAGCTGTCATATCGGGCCAGTGCAGCGGGAACGCAGACGGCTTGTCATTTGATATTTGCTTGGTCGATATTCCGAGCATCATTGAGTCACCTCTGATCTGGCTCCTGGGAGATGTTTGGCAGGGGAAGAGGAAGAAACATGGTCGCAAGAGGCAGTGTTTCGCGCTTCATTGTGTCCAATTCCTTTTTCTGTTTTTTTTTTTTTTTTTTTTTTGGCCATGTTACCCTTCAACAACGTGGTTGCAACACTCTCCACGCCTTGATCTCGGGTGTGTAAGCCTCCGGGAATATGGGATGTGTCTCACTGGGTTTCATCAGCTATATTTGGCCTCAACAAACCAAGCTGATACTGGCTGTTGCACATAGTCGCAAGTGCCAGATGGTAGACGGCCGGCACGTATTCTGAGGATACTGTGAGTCTATAAGGACCCTGGAGAGATCGATTGTTCAGGTTGGAGAGGACGCTTTGGTGTGAGCCGACAAAAGACAAGAATGAGATAATGAAAGCAGAATTGAAGACTTGGACGCTGAACTGAAGTGAAGTTATTGTCGAGCTCATTAGTAAGCAGAGCCAAGACCACTATTTTCCGAAATTCTGCCGGGCATCACATTGCCACTGCCCGCACTGCCTCAAGATTACGCTACATCCCGCAGATTAACTAGATCATATCCCTCTCCAAGACTTTTGAAAGTCGGCGGGGCGGCATTGCTGGATTGGCCGATGAAGGAACGTAGTGGTAAGTGCAGAGGATACAGTTTTAGACGCTGGCTCTTATCCGATGAGAGTTGACAACGGAACAGACACGCCATGACAGAATCAGAAAGGATGCTTGGTCTTGCGGAGCCGTTGCATCAAAAAGTATCCCAAAAGTTCATGACTGCCTTCAGGGCCAAGGATATTCTGTTCTCTGAGACCAGCCTTGCGTACCTTCAAGCTAGAGGAGGAGCTTCGGTGAGTGCGCCGCTAAGGTTTCGGCGGATGGTTGCTCATTTCTATCAAGTTTCAATTGCGGTATTGCCCTGCTTTGAAAAAGAAACCCCAAGGTCATGTCTCTAGTGCAAAAAGAGATCCGTCCGGGCCTAAATTCGATCCTTTTGAAGACCCGCCGGTAGAGCTCCTAGTTGCTCAGATCCCAGCCCAAAATGCGTCACATACTTTGGTCTTGAACAAATACCCGGTCATTCACAACCACTTCATTATCGCCACCAAAGCCAACAAGCCGCAAACGGACCTTCTGGAGGAAGATGATATTGGCTTGACTCACGCTTGCCTGCGGGCCTGGGAGGACCAGCGCCACGACGGAAGCTCTCCACGTCTTTTTGCTTTCTTCAATTCTGGAGAGCATAGTGGCGCTAGCCAGGTGCATCGCCACTTACAGTTTCTACCTGTGGAGGATATGGCAGGTTCAAAAATCCAAGAGTGGAGGCTTTTGATCGACCGCATGAATGTGCCAGCTCACCCGGAACTGCCACTGTTTCAAGACCCATCGTTGCCGATATTGCATTTTTCCACTCCACTTGAGCCTGGTATCTCAGCAGCGGACTTGCACCGCAAATATATAATGCTCATGAAAGCAGCATTGTCTGCCACTCTTTCACCTGGCGGGCCACTAGATCAAAGCTTAGTAGTTGAAAAGGATGGCAAAACTCTGATATCTTACAACCTTGCCATGACGACGGACAGAATGGCAATCTGTCCCCGAAGTCAAGAAGCTGCCTTTATTCCCGGAGCTGGTCCAGAGAGCTCTGTGGCCATCAATGGCACGATACTCGCGGGTACTCTTATGGTCAAGGATGAAACAGAGTGGGATATCCTTCGAGAGACTCACTCGCTCCTTGATGAAATGCTAGCCTCTATCGGCTTCTCTTTAATATCATGGAAACAACATGGCAGCGCAATAAAAATATAGTGTTAGTTGCACCTACATGTGTCCCACACTCTTCCGACTCCGTTGATTTACCTGGCCAAATACTGTCGCTCGGAAGAGCACGCGCCAGTCTTCGAGATCCCGGTCATGGGCTTGCTCGACCTCCCTGGCAGTCACCTTTGTTCACAATAGCGTCTTCTCCGTTCGAGAACAGCCGACAGCATGCCTCGATTGACCTGTGACAAAAGGGGCACACCTTCCACTAACTCCATAAAAGATCGGATGCCGATCTTTTCACGCCATATGAAGAACACTTGACAAGAAGGATCAGCTGAGTGATAATCCCACACTCACTGTCTAAAAATACTTTGGTGGTTCTCAACATAACCTCCAGAGTACCTGAGTGATGCGTCACAGGAAGGGGAACATTAAGCGCGCAAAGTCAAGCAATTTTCGTTTGGGGCTATAGTTGGTGACAAAAAGAAACCTACATACCTACTGCTAAGGAGGAAGCTGTCCACATCAGTGATCAAGGCTCGCTCTCGCTATTCCAGGGCTGGCCATGTCAGATGAAGCTGGGATGCTTTGGGACAACCATATGCCTTGTCAATGCTGATGGCTGAGAGTTTTAGAATTTCGCCAAGCGAGGCAGACTTTACGAAGCAGCTTATGAGGACTCGAGGAAAGGGGAGTCCAGCCTCGTGCTTTGAGGAAGAGCAGAATTTGAGATTGAGAGCTGCGCAACCAGGACGGTTGATGACTACAAAATTCATGACGACCCATTGACGGTTGGACACATCGTCGATGCCAAGGAAGCGATACGGGAAGGGCAGAGGCTGGCCATGAGGTGAACCATGGGCTGTCCTAGAGCGCGAGCCCGCATGTCGTTGACGAGTATCTACGGGGCGCAAAGACATGCTGCATCTCCACCGTACGATAGCGTTTAACTGTGTACCGCAGAAGGCGGAGCAAGCATTGACCAGGAAAACAAGTGGGCGGAGCGTGCAGATTGCAAAAGCTTTGAGAGTTTTTCTGACCGCATCGACAGACTGATGGAGTCAACGTGAATGTGTCAGAAGGGCACCGCGTGGCAGTCCAGACCTCGAAATTCTCGCTTGTTGCGCAAGCCACAAACACGACCCGGACGACTTGTGCGGATTTCCAAGCCCTGTTGTCCGTTGAGAGGGCCTGTCCGTCGTTCGTGAACGGGCGGGACAAGGGTCTGTGGTGGTCAAGCGTGGGGCAGCAAAGCAATCGGGTAGTGACGGTGACAAGTGGAGGAGAGAGGACCCGGGCGATAAACACGAGCAAGAAAAGGAAAAGAGAGGGGTAGGAACTTGGGGTCTGTTCGTAGGGCTGCAGATTTTCGAAGGGCCAAAACGGGCTTTTGCTTTTGGATCGCGCGGGGTCGTGAATGACTCCTCTGGACAAAGGGTCTGGTGGTTGTTGTTTTTGTGGTTGTGATGGTGCTTCTGGCTCGTCTGCTTTAGCTTTGGCTTTGGGAATTCGAGGTTTTGATACGCGGAAGGCAAGCTAGACCAA